AAAAAAAAAAAAAACATGAAAAGGGTCAAATTGCACCTTATGGTCGCGAAAGGGTTAAGAGTCCTTGTTCTTGGAATACGAATACAGAATGAAATCCCACAGTCGAGTTGCCAACTGAACTAGACGAGCGCCACTGCTACGCGGTGGATATTTATGTTAGGTCGCAATTGCTAAGGTCATTCCCTCCTCCGCTTCTCTTCGGCGGGATTATACCCTCTTTAAACCGCCATTTGTTTTAAACAAATTGTTTATCAATTACCCATTTTCTTTAACCTATATGTCGATTATTTTTAAATATTTAACTTAAGCCTACAAAGTATTTATCTCTTTGTAACAACCTCTACAATGTATAATCTCCAAGTTGATCAGTGCAATCCATCGGTAAAATGTGGTTTGTCCTATCATAGCCTCCTGTTGAGCGCTGAGGCGCTTAGAGTCCAGACGACACCGCCAGAGCAACAGCACCAGCGTCCAACATGTACCAAACCCTGACGATGATCTCACTGCCAAACCCCGTCCGGCGTAACCAAGAAGCGGCTCCGAGCGAATAGCGCAGCAGAGCGCGTGTCAGCAAGGCCAGGCAACGAGCGAGGATGACAGTGGAGAAGAGTCACTTGCCTGCCGCCATGGGTGGCAGCCGACGTGAGGCAGTGGTGGCAGTAGGCGAAGCAATTTACAAACGGAGAGATGGTCCTCTGTGACCCAGTGGTGGGAGGCGCCTTTGCTTTGACCTAACAAATTGACGCGTAGCCTTTAATTTTAAAGATATCGTGTGCTATAAAAATAATATTCTAGCAAAACCTACCAACGATAGCGCACAGCGACGATGTTGATGCAGGCGATGACGTTGAGATGGCGGTGGCTCCTCCGGAGTTCGAGTTTATCAAGGAGCCAAAGTTGACGAAGTGGAGCCAGCCCGCTTCAGTCGTCTTCTTGTGCGATCGAAGGCAGTATGAAGCCAATATCTGGGAGCGCTGTGTGGCCACCGGCGAAGCGCACGAGAACGTGCTGGTCATCATCTAGAGCTCTGTCGAGCAAAAGATTCTCGAACATCTTGCCCACTACGTGTTCAAGACTGGAGTGTTCGACCTGGAGGTAGTCCTTCGTAAGGAGATTGAGCATAAGGCGGGCAGCCTGATGAACAACCATGTTCCGGATGTGGAACGAATGTTCACCTAGAGACTGGCCATGGATACATCTGAGAAAGACGTACACGCTCGAGCTGCCAACTCCTTATTAAATCCCACAAGTTAGTGTAGGATAACAGTCTGGCGGCCTGGGTTGAACGTGGCAGCGTAACCGATTCTGCAGGGCAACAGCGAATGAAGATGCGTTGCAAGTTGCTGATGGCCAATCTCGCTCCCGCCGTATTGTGAGTTGACATACAGCGTCTGGACGCGGTGATCCACTACCACGTTAAGCAGGATGATGTCGCGCTCTACGAGCTGATCGTGATCAGGGCTTTACTACAGCAGTATTAGCATCAGATGCAGTCTGATGTGAAGAAGGCCGGCTCGGTAAAAACAAGAACCTGAAAAGTGACAATAAGAACAAAGGAAACAGTGGCAAGCAGCAACAACCGAAATCAGCCAGTAAGGAAAAGGTGGCAGCCAAACCCATGGGGCCAAGTGCGCCGCCAACTACGGGTTGTCTAGTGTGCAAAGGAAGTCATTGGGTAAAAGACTGTCCTACCACCAACGAAGATGAGAAGTCGACTGCTATCCAATCAGCCAGAGATCGTAGGAAGGAGCGCGTAGAACGCGGTAAGATGGTAAAGGATTTGATCAAGTCCGTCAATAGCTGCCATAAGCGCATCAAAAACGCCTTGGATATACCCTATTGTGACGCAGACAGCAGTATTATCTCTCATACACTGGTAGACAAATTGCTGGGGCTTGGAGGAAGCATGGAAGCGGCCGCACTGCAGCCGCCCGTGAATGTGGTCGTGGCCGGAGGTGCATATATGGTGTGCCGTTCATCAGTGATGTTAGATCTGCGAATTAAAACCGCTGCCGGACCGCTGAGTCTCCACAATGTCGTGTGTCTGGTCTTGGACGGCGATGAAGAGGAGTTCCTGCTGGACCGCAATTCCATGCAGGGTATCGGAATTGACATCGACCGTCTATTCGAGCAGCTTGCTGACAGCGATCAGGTGACGGACGCCAGTGCTAATGATGCACAGTCGACAACGTTGGATGACGTTTAAGATTCACATGGACGAGGTTTATTAGCAACTCGAGCGAATACTAAAGCGATGAAAACAAACAGGTTTTGGGCCATTTCTACTACACCAACCAATAAAACGACCCTATAA